CAGGGCTTGATCCTGGAGTCAGGAAGCCAAGTGCAGGGAGGTGTGACATCGAGAGGCTACTATTCTTGAAGGTCCCCTGCTTCACCCCGGTCCCTGCCACGGATGCTTTCCTTTTCTTCCACCAGGTATTCCTTTCTCCTCATCCTCACTTCTTGCCTCTCATGTGGTGGTGGGAGAAAATTCACAGATGCTAATGGTAGTGAACACTAACTATTGTCACCCTTGGGATTCTTCTGCTAGAGGCTGGTGCTCTGGAAACATTTCTTGGCTCCAAGGAGATTAGTAGGCCTACCCTGCTATTCATAGGCTTAGAAAACATCAAAGCCCAGCCAAAGGTTCCAACAAGTGACTCACAGGCCTAATACCCACCCTCAGATACTTTTTATTTAGCCAATTGTTTTTGATTTTGTGGGGTTTTTTTTAAAGATTTGTTTTTATTTCAACTTAAAAAAAAACGTTTTATTTATTTTTGAGAGAGAGACAGAGACAGAGTGTGAGCAGGGGAGAGGCAGAGAGAGAGGGAGACACAGAATCTGAAACAGGCTCCAGGCTCTGAGCTGTCAGCACAGAGCCCGACGCGGGGCTCGAACTCACGGACCGCGAGATCGTGGCCTGAGCCAAAGTCGGACGCCTAACCAACTGAGCCACCCAGGTGCCCCAAGATTTATTTTTAAGTCATCTCTACACCCAACGTGGAGCTCGAACTCACAACCCTGAGATCAAGAGTTGTATGCTCTACCGACTGAGCCAGCCAGGTGCTCCAAGTGTTTTTGTTTTGAGTTTGAATGCCTTTAGACTGGCGCTTCTCACCCGGGATAATTCTATTCCCCCTTCCCCCACAGGACATCTAGCAATGTTGGGAGATGTTTTTGATGATCAGAACTGGGGTGGAGGGCGCTACTGACATCTAGTGGGTAGAGGGCAGGGATACTGCTAGATACCCTCTAACGCACATGGTAGCCCCCAGGACGAAGCATCTATAGTGCTGAGGCTGAGAAACTGCTTCAGACTGGCATGCATGTAGTCTTGGTTCCCACAGTCCCCGCTACTGCCTCTTGTCTTGCACAGTCTACTTCACTACCTGCTTAGCCCTTGTAGGCAAATGAGTTTATACACAGGATAAGGGTCTCACAGTACTCACTCATCAACTCCAAAGTAATCTCAGAATAAAATATAAAAATTATTTGAACTTGAGTGGCATAACCACAGGGATGGGTCTTACCTTTCAGGCTGCAGGAAATCTGTAGCCATTCTCCCAGCCAAGTTCGACACCTCTCTTCAGCGATATGGGTAGAATTCAGGCCACGAAGATAACAAGCCTATTATCACCCAGAAGAGAAACAGTCCTCAATAATCACATAGCAAGTATGGCCATGAACTGTAAACCCACTAATAATTCAAAACCTCTAAGTAAGTTCCAATCTCATCCCCACAAGAAACCTTTCTCTGTGGCAATCTGAACTACAATGGACAAGAAGACAAGCAAAGAAGACTATATAACCAAAAATAGTAGGTCTAAAGAACAGTGTCTCTGGTTTTTGAAAGGCCATAAGCCAAAACTACTCTGGGCAATTCCCTCCCATGAGTTCACTGAGAAAAAAAGACACAGAAACGAAGTGAAAGAATAAAGAGTTTGGGCTTTGTTCTAACAACCAAAACATGGTGGAGGTCTCTGTAAGCTCCCAGTCCTGTGAGCTCAAAAGCCCACCAAGGATTGAGGGTTGATATTGCCATCAAATTCTTACCGATTTCACTTCCTGAGGGGTCAGGTGGCCAATCCCCAGCTTTGCCAAAGCTTTGTCCAGTTGGTGAATTACAGTGGTATGAGTCTTTAAACGGTGTCTCAACAAGAAAGAAGGCAGATAAGGTGTGAGAAGCATGGCTCGACTCAAGGCTTTCTGTAACGCAACGACACAGGAGGAGAAAGTCAGCACGGCATTACCATACACAGAACCTGAGGCAAGGCGAGGCTGCGGAACAGAGAAAGCCTCGAAGTGCTCACCATTTGCAAAGCATGGAGTTGGTTCATGCCCAGAGGATGGTTAGAGAAACACTCTCTCAGAGCCAGGATATCATGTATTGCTGGGTGGGTACCATGCTGTATCTTGGGAGAGCCAAGAGATTGGTAGAGGTTAGGAAGCTCCTGACTGGCCCTCTTTCCTAGTTTTAGTGCAAACTGGATCTAACAAGAGTCCTAGTTTGCAGGAAGGGTTAGCTAGAGGAATACCTTGGTGCACAGCTCTGTCATATGCCACCGGAGTCCTGCATCAGAAACGAGAGGGGTAACCCTTTCTAAATAGCCAAGGATTTCTGGGTGGGACTGCTTCCGGAGAGCATGATAGATATCTAAGAAATCAATTTGTTGCTTTGGGGTCCAGAAATGTTGGATCAGTAGCTGCCTAGGAAACAGGTACCTGAAAGGAAAAGGAATCACAATGTCACTTGCTGAAACCGGCATCTTCAAAGCGATCTAAGAAAGCATTTGGCAGATATGAATACTAGGAAGAAGAAATGGAGACATTACTTCCTACCTCACTGTTCTGTAAATGAGTCTCAGACCAAGGTTTAAGAGACACGGAAGCACAATTTCAAGCAACATTACTGAGGTTTGTGAAAGCAAGCAGTGGTGGAATAGCCTCGCATGCAGTAATTGGATAAAATGACTCCTTTTGAACCAAAGCATCTGAAGAACATATGCTGGACAGACCGGGAGACAGATGCAGACAGAGCTGGTCATTATATGTGATGGTGACAACCTCAAGCTGTTGCACAGTCCGTATGTGTATATAAAATGTGAAAGTCAAATTTGTTTTTTAATTCATTTTCTGCATGTGTGGTGGTTTTAAAGCATGGCCACAAATTCTCTGGCATCCCTCTTATTGAGAAGGAAGGTCTATGTCCCCCTTACTTTTAAATCTGGGTGACTGATTCAACCAATAAAGCAGAGCAGAAGTGAGTCTTTGTGACTTCCAAGGCTAGGTTATAAAAGGCCACCCGGATTCTTATTTGCCGAAACACTCACCCTTGGAGCCCTGAGCTGCCATGTAAGAAGTCCTATTACTCTGAGGCCACCATTTTAAAGAGGCTACATATAGGCACTCTGACAGTCCCAGCCTTCCGGCCATCCCTGCTAAGGCACCAGACATAAGAGTGACCTTAGATCATCCAGACCAGTCCATTCATCAGCTAAATATCACTGACAGACTTCTGTCAACATCACACGGAAGAGAAAAATCAGTCACACACCTGAACCCTGCCCAATTTCCTGACCCACGAAACCATGAAAAGCTATTAAGCTTTGAGGTTGTTTGTTATGTAGCAACAGATAACTAAAACACACAAGATCAAAGTTTAAAAGTGTCATCTTTCGGGTGTGTGGCCGCTTCAACCTGGGTAGCTCAGTCGATTAAGCATCCAACTCTTGACTTCAGCTCAGGTCACATGGCTCACGGTTCGTGAGTTCTAGCCCTACACTGGGCTCTGTGCTGACAGTGCAGAGGCAGCTTGAGATTCTCTCTCTCCTCTCTCTCAAGATAAATAAACTTAAAAAATCAATCAATCAATCATCAAAAGTGTCGTGTTTGGATACAAAGTAAAGATTTATGTGATCAGAATATGAAATGCGTTTCTCTCCTAAAAAACTGTCCCAAATTGCTAAGCCTCTCAGGGAGTGGGTTGCTGCCTCTAGCGATGATGGAAAAGGTCATAATCTTATTTCACAACACACAGGGGCAGCTGAGAGGCAGGAAAAGTCTACACTACCTACACCTACAGCTAACCTAGTAATCCAAGTGTTACCAAGTGTGGCTAATTAGAAGACTGGAGCAGGAAATGTGATAATCTCTGCCTATTTCTGAAATGGAAAGTTCTTCTTAAAATAATTTTGAATTAAAAAAAAATCTATATATCTTCAATACGCTGGGAAGATAGAAGTCTGTACTCACATTAGCAAGAAGAC